TATATTTTAACATTTTTAAATGAATGTTTTTGACTATAAAGAAAAAGTAACTGCTTCACATTTTAATTTGAATCACAATTAATTTGCTTGCCACTTTTGCATTAATTATTAATTTTTGCTTGCAAGAATTTAAAGTTTTAAAATTAGATATTTTTATGGTAATTAGTGGCTTGAGTTTTCCTTTATTTTTCTATTATTGTAGCTATGTTAGTTGCAATAATTTTTGCTATGCTAAAATAAGCTTTACATGTATGTCAGTGTATGAGTATGTGGCGCTTAATGATGGAAATATGTTGTTAAGCGAATGTCATAGATTGTACTTAGACAAACATTATATGGTATAGTCTTGTATAAGCTATATGTTACATAATAAGTATTTATGTATCTAAACATAAAAAAGTATGGATGGCTGCAAAGTTTGCTGCTCCATTGTAATCCTATGAAACCTCTGTCGTTAAGCTGCACATACAGTACCTGTGTACTTTTTAATATAATTTATTGAGAAAATTTTTTTACATAATATTAAAATATTTTATTTTAATCAGAATTATTTAATTGATTAATTATATATGTATAGATTCTATATATTTCAAAATATTAATTTTTTTTCCATCTAGTTTAGGGAATTAGAAGGTACCATTGGACAAATTTTGACATCTCCTGAAGGTGCTGATATATCTAGTGAAGTTGAATAAATGNTTTGTATTATATTGTATTAATAAACAAAATTATTAGCTTATTTTTCACTTATGTAGAACCTAACCCTCACTGTAAATACGGGTTTGTTTTACGCCGATTCGATTTGCGCCGGCTTTTGTAGGAACGGAACTGCGGCGTAAACCGAGGGCTACCATTATATTGTATTAATAAACAAAATTATTAGCTTATTTTTCACTTATGTAGAACCTAACCCTCACTGTAAATACGGGTTTGTTTTACGCCAATTCGATTTGCGCCGGCTTTTGTAGGAACGGAACTGCGGCGTAAACCGAGGGCTACTTGTATATTGTCTAAATCCCAGTCTGCCTTTCCATAACATAAGATTTTCATCTGCGATGTAAGCATATTTGAACCTGTGGCATAAATGATCGATAACACTGCATAATTTATGCAGTTTATTATCAACACCTGAGGCTTGATTATTGTCTGTAAAATGCAAACATGACAATAAAAGCAGAAAGTGGTTGCTCGACATTGCACTAAAAAAAAATGGTGTAGAAAAAACATCTTAGATTGTAAAGTACATACTTAGGCACGGTTTTCTAATGATACTTGTGACCATTATAAGTCCTAGAAATTCTCTAATTTCTGGATTTGTTGTTGGTTTCCAGTTTTTTATATGACTATTTTCCCGTAAGTCGTCACAGTTCATCAAACTATCACTATACCTGTTAGTTCTTTAACGATTTTGTCCACAAGTTCATCATCGAAAAATACATTAAAGCAGTCGAATGGTGTAGCATCACTCTGTAAATTACATTGGATTCCTGCTTGTCCTGTGAAACTGTTAACATGAGTGCTTCTGAAGTTCGTATGAATCTAACAATCATCACTACTAAATCGCAGTCGTTATGCACTATTATTTCTTTGAGTATTACCGCATGATTAGCCTCTGTATTTACTTGTAGTTGGTATTTTGTGATCAATATCACTACTACCATCACTTACATTTTTAGTTTGTATATATATTTCTAGTTGCTGTCTGAAAATTCAGACTCATTGGAACCTAAATTAAATAAATATTTGATCATTTCTGACTTATTCAGAGTGCTATTTCTCCCAGCCGTTGCCATGTCAAAACAGAGACAAACTAACGGTCTATTTTTCTTCATGATTTCATGTAAACAACTATTCCTATTATTGTAATATTCTGCTGTGCAAAAACTAGATAACAATGATTCTTTTGATATGAGTCACTAATTTTGGAATTCCATACAAATAGCGACATCTGATGTTTAAAAAATGTTCCGATGCAGAAACAAATATATATGGGGTCAACGTGTTAAGTCAAATGAGATCAAGACAAAACTATTCAGGAACAACACGGGATGGGTTAAATAAACTCCTCTGAAACCATAATTTAGACCAAATTTGAGATGGATGTCAAGTCTGGGTCAGTGAATATTATAAGCTATGTGGAATCCCAATTGGATTGTATTATTTAGGAATATTACAGGAAAACTCTGCTATGGACTTAAGCTGGGATTTTAGGTGCTCAGCTCAATTTGCAGGCATTGAAAACAATAATGCAATTCTAGTGTACATATAAAATTATTATTATTATTTTAATTTTCTTTTTTAATAATTTAAATCATATTTATTCACATCATCTAAGATTTCTGGAGAAAACATTTTCAATTATATTTCATGAAGCAAATATTAAAATACACACATGCTTGCCCACTAACTTGCATGTGTATACACACACATCCATGGAATTTTTTTGCCAGTTTTTTTGATTTTTGTTGATTCAGGAGGTTTCAAAATGTGGAGATTTGTGAAAACCCAGAGGGTCAAATTTGACACGATTCCCTTACTTTACCTTGTTATGTATACATAACAGCCTGGAAAGTGAAAACCAGCAGAAAAAAAATTAAAGAACATTGGTTTATCTTAAGAAAAGTATGAAATATAGATCCACCAATGGAAATGTCTAATAGGTTTGAAAACTATTCAAAGTTTTCTTAGTTTGTGACTATATATATTGACAATTGTTTCCATTGCAGTGTCAATGAATTCTCTCTCTGATTTTCTTTTGACTCTTTCTTAATTAAATTAATTTTGTTTTATTTATGTCTTTGCATATGTTTGTTCCATATACTTTTACAGACGTATTTGTGAAGGTTAAAAAATTTCTCTCAAATGACAAAAAAAGTTATTCTTAGTAGGGCAGTCTGTAGGATTGATCTGTAGGCAGTGATGTCACAGATTAATGTGCTAAAATGAACTTTATTATGGTCACTTGAAAGAAATTTGAAGACTTCTGTAAATTTTTCTTAAATAAAAGTGAATGAAATTCATTGACACTGTATTTATACACAAATGTGTCTACAGATGCCTCACATCAATACAATGCTACAGTAGTGTCACAAGCAAAATACCTTTTTTATTTATAAGATTTAAACTTTTTGTTACTGTATTATTGAATACATGCATAATTTTTTAATGTTAAAAGTTGCTTGTTAATCTGGATCAAGTTTAATTTAATAATTTTGAAGCAAACCAGACATCTAGTTTACTTCAAACCTGCTGTTTAGAAATTGAATTGTAATAATTGCAATAACAGTTAGTTTCATAATTAATATCATTAATCTATACCTGTACAGGTGTTTCTTCTGGAATTTGAGATTCCATTTCACCATTGTCTGCACTAATGTGAAAACGCCGTTCAAATTCTCTTGCAGAATCTAAACTACGTTGCTGTACTTGTTCTTCTGTTGGTGAAATTCTACAGAATAATTTAAAACATCAATAGGTACAATAAATAGGTATTTTAGTATTTGAATAATCTACTTAAATAATAAAAAAATGTGAAAAAATGAATATGTACCTCTACGCACTTATCAATATACTATACTTGTATAAATAAAAATTAGAGATGATACAATAATGAATTCTGTAAATACAATTCAGATACTGATAATTTTCCAACCAATCCGATCCTGATACTTAATTTTATCTGTATTCTCTATGTGTCAATAAATGATAGCTCATTGATTTAGAGCAGGGAGTCACTAAACTTTTTTCACAATGGGCCACATAACTGAGAGAAGGACAAACAAGGGCCACATAACAATTTTGTTCAATAGAGTATACTAATACACAAAAAATAAAGACAACCAATATATTTATTTACCAATACACAAACATGATCGCTGCAGCAAGCTCGTAATCGCTTTTCTTAGAAACATCATTGTAGGTACTTACATAAAAAGCACTCAGATATCCAAACTCGCAAAAAGTCACCAAATTTTTTATTTCAGTAATTTTCCTAAATATTATATTACTGTCAGATGCAAAAATCAAATTGGACTAATTTTGGCATTTTTACTTTAACTTTTTCTACATGGTAAGTTTATCTACAGTCTATGATATTTCCATATAAATAATTATATTTTAGCTGATTTGTGACACAGTGCAGCAGCAGTGGACCAGATGAGCTGACCTTGCAGGTCGTAGTTTGGTGACCTCTGGTTTAGAGGATAACCATTTAAATTCAAATATAAAGAAATATAAGTCTATATACTGATTTGAAGCTCATTTCGGATCAGACCATTGACAATTGTAATTGTCTAGTTTGCCTAAGTCTGCACTAGCCCTGTTTCTAAGAAAAAAAATTTGAATACATCTTGAACAAATTTATAATTGTATAGAAAAATTACCAGATTGAAAAAATCATTCGGCAATGATTTTTTCAATGTGGTAATGTCTCCAGACCTGATAATGTTGTTCACACATTATCCATCCACTGATAAAAATGCATTCAGCATGCAAAGTTTTTTTGTACAAGAAGAATAAGCAAAAGCAGTGTCATTATTATTGCCTTACTGTCCTTTAGTTTCTTAATATATATTTTTTGTCAACTTGGACATTAATTATTAATAGGACAATTATACTGGTTTTTAAGTTTTTATGCAAGAATTGAGGAAAAGTTCATAAAGAAAACAGACTTTCTTTATTGAGCTACCTGTACACATACATCTGTTCATATGTATGTGTACAGGTCTGTTTTCTTTAAGAACTTTTTCCTCAATTCTTGTGTAAAAACCAGTATAATTGTCCTATTAATAATTAATGTCCAAGTTGACAAAAAATATATATTAAAAGCAGTGTCAGTTTTCTATATAATTGGTTGAGACCTGTCACAACTGAAGTAATTAAAATGAGATTTGTGCACTACATATATTTTNAAATTGAATTGTAATAATTGCAATAACAGTTAGTTTCATAATTAATATCATTAATCTTCTATATTTATAATTGATAAATTTTAATTTCAGCTTGAACAAATACAAGAAAGCTTAGAAAAAATTAGTGAAATCAAGCATCAGAATCTCATCATTAGAGAAGGAGAATTGGAAACAAATCTTATGTGTGTCATTGATACAAATAAGGGAAATGAAAATAAAAAAAACATTCCATGTGTATTAGATGAAAAAGAAATGCTTTCAAATCCAAATGGACCAACTATTACTCAACAATCCGAGAAAGCAAAGAACTCACTAGTGCCATTCACTCCCATTTCTCCCTCTCATACGTCACCTGTTGGATCTCCTGGAGATGTGAAAATTTCCAAATCGTCTAATGCCATTCACTGTGCAGATATTTGCGTCCCAGTAGCTTCTGAATCTGATACCGATTCTGGTTGGCAGAGCATGATTGGCTCATTTGCTGGAGATGGCCAGAGTCTTGAAAATGGTTTTCACATTCTTGAAAATGGAAAAAATGATTCTGTAAGTACAACCATGTCGAGTGGAATTCCAACTTTATGTATTAGTCAAAAAGTGGTAAATAATTCTTCTGGTTCTAAACTTTCTCATGGGATAACAAATGAAGAAAATCTTATCAATAGTATTAGAGACAGTTTTCTTACATCATCATCCATATTTCAGGAAGAAGTTACTAATTGTATTTTACTAAGCAACAAAAATAAGTTAGGTTGTAATAATAATAATAATGGTAATGAAGATAGTGGAAACCAGAAAGATGGAAATTTAAATAAAAATTCAATCTCCGTTCATGAAACTGTAAATCAGTTAAAAGTTCCAAAACTTGAAAACTTAGCATCAGATTTATCTCTGAAAGCTGTTGCCAGTGATTCTTTGTGTTCAACTCCCGAATCATCATGCACCGTAATTGTTCAAGCATCAAAAGACGATGCAGTCTGTGTTACTTCACACAGTGATTCAAAAAATGACAATACAATACAGAAAGTTCTTTCTCCAGAAAGAAAAACATCAAAAGATATATTAAACATGGAAAAATCTACAATTTCCTCAAAAAATAATGAAATATTAAATTTAGTTCACGATGCTGAAGTGAACGTAGAGTTACTTAACTCTCCTTCCAGACTTTCTAAATATAGGAATAATGATACGATAACTGACGATGAAAAGACCGCAGAACTACCAAGATTGAAAGAATACAATTCGTGCATGAAGAATACTAGCGCACCAGTTGAATCGAGCTTAAACACAAATGAATCAGAGAAGATAACTATTGGTTCTCAAGAGAAAGCCATTCCATCTAGAGAATTATCCCAACAAAAGGTAAATTCTTCCTCAAGAACATCATTGTCTTCAGCAGCTACTGTTTGGGAAACAAGGGTTCATAATATAGAAGCAACTTTGCAACAGCTACAATCACAGGTATAGTTGGAAATCAAATGCATGTGCTGTTTGATGTTTGTGCCTGATGTCATGGATTTCGTTCCTTTACAAAATTTTTTATTGCCTTTAAATTGATTAATGTTAGGATTGTATATTTGAAAGGATAGAGTCAGATAATCTTTGCCAAAGTAAAATTATTTTAATATTTGCATGTTAAATATTGAGACCTTTCACATTTTACTTCACATAACCATTTTACCTTTTCTTCATGTATAGTTTATGTAAGGGCCTTTCAGGTTGAGGAGCTTTAGGCTGTTGCTTCCTACATGTACAGTACAATCTACATATGTTTTGTGATGAAAAGGGAATGTTGATAAGTTCTGAAATGGGGAAAAAATGACAAAAAAATATAGTTTTGTGATCCATCATCATCGTAATATTTTAAATTAATTACTGTATTTTACAACTTTTACATAAATTTTACATAATAGGCTGATAAGTGATCCACAATCTCCAAGTTGACATCTGGTAGACACCTTTAGTTCGGCACTCAACTAAGAAAACAAGTTTCATGATCCTCTTGCAGATCTTTAAGGGAATGTTACATTAAGATTTGGCTGGCATAGCAAAGATTGTGGATCACTTCTCAGATTGAGGTTCCTGTGCTTAAGAAGGGCCAAATTTGATATTTATTATTTAAAATTAGTGAAAGCTAAGGAAAAAATAAATGTTAGTACATAAATCCATAATATACAAATAAATATATGATACTATAGTACAGTAGAGCCTCGAAAACTCGGCCTAATGTGGACCGAAGGGTGGCTGAGTTTGTGAAAATGCCGGGTTATCGGGAATGGGGTTAAAAAAAATAAGTACGAGTGTTTCCTCAGAAAATACTGCACTGTGCTTGTATGTATTGTTTACTTGAGAATACAACAGAGAATAAACTGCCCAAATACCCTTAAACAAAGGAAAAGTACGTCCTTTATGAAGGCATAGAGCCTTTACTACATGAAAATGAAAATTAATGAATACATAGTGTACAGTAATTTACCTGATAAGACAGACCTCAGAAAAATACTTTGAGGCATAAAGCTGTCTATAATGAAAATTAATTAACTAAGGATTTGTTTGCCCTGCCAGGGTGTGGCCGAGTTATCCGGAGTGCCGGGTTATTGAGTGCCGAGTTTTCGAGGCTCTACTGTATTAGAGATATAGCAATGTATTTATTTTGAAAAATATTAATTGTGATATTTAATACATTTTTGTTTCCATTTTCCATCAGCTCAATATGCAATGAATTGTTGACATTTATTTATTACTCAAATTTATTGTTATTGCTTCAGTAATTTTTGCATATTTGACATACAAAATTTTTTAATAATTAATGTTTTAGTTTATAGCTATAGATGTACATTTTACTGAAATTTATATTCTGCCATTTTGCCAATTTGAAAATATTCGATACTATTTAAAATTATACATCAACCAAAGCCGAATATTATCGGGCTAGAAACAGCTATAATACTAATAATTTAATAGACAATTTGGCATAAGAGTTAGGTGTTAGGCGCCATCTCTTGATACGGGTTTGAGTCCTGCTTCGGGTCGATTCTTTTCTTCTAGTAATTCTAAAATTATTATTTAAATTATAATTACTAAACGTATCAAGAGATGTTGCCTAATGCCTAACTCTAATGACAAATTGTCTATTAAATTATTGGTATTATAGCCGTTTCTAGCCCTATAATATTCGGCTTTGGTTGATGTATAGCTTTAAACGTATCGGGTGTAGTAAGGATGTTTGATTAGCTATTTAAAATAATTTTAAGATTTTTCTGATAAGGTTTAGTTAAATTAAAAGATTTTATTTATCTTGCTTTATGGTTTTTACTGTCTATTCTTAATTAAATTGCTCACTAATACTTTCCTTTGTTTCTTATAAGAGACAGACATTTTGATTTTTTATTGTCACTTATTTGATTGATTTATGAGATTATAATTGGGCGTCCAGATGGCCGAGGCAGATAAGTTAACGGCCTACTGCTCCTGGGATCAAATTCAAGTGAGCAGTTCCCCAGGAATTTTTTGTGGACAGTTTGTTCTGTATATGTCTGACTTTATTTTTCACCCCTTGGCCACTATGAAAGTAAACTTATTGCTATAATTTATTTGACTGCTTACATATAATGCACGAAGATGTGATTGCAATTTAGTTTGGCATTAATTTATAGTTAATCTATAATTTTCAATGATTAAACTTTACAATTAAACAATTATCCTATATGAATATTGCAGTTTTTAAAAAGGTATATTTAAATATAATTTTAAAATATTTTAAGAAGAAAAGTCACTTTAAAATAATGAATACAATAAAATTTACTGATCTTTTCAACAGTCCTTTTTTTTAATTATCGAAGAGATGTATTTATACCATATGCATTTTGAACTGTATCAATTAACAGTTCCTCTTCAGTGGTATGAATACACAATAATAACATGAACTTTCTAGTATACAAGAGTACCGAGATACAATTTAGTCACATGCTGGTGGCCATTTTATCATCATGCTAACTGGTGAAAATTTGTATACTGTCATTGACATTCAATATATTTTTAGTATTAAAGATTATTAAATGTTCTTTAAATTTTCTTTTATAAATATTTTTTTCCCTATCCACTATTTTAATTTCTGAAGTATCTATATTACAATTCTTTTCATGTGCATGTGTCAATCATGGCAAATTTACATGTTTTAAACTAATTCCTGTTAAATCTTCTTTAACTCTTTTTTCCAGTTTTCTTCCTGTTTCTCCTATATATATTTCAATTTTTGACATACAGTAGACCCCCCTATAACGCTTAGATACGTTCCACGCTAACCGAAAATTACGTTGTAGGAATGATTAAATACGTGAGCCAATTGCAGCCCGATAGGTGGGAACTTTACGGACTAAGGCTGTACGAAAGGTTTTCTACTGTAAAATTAACCGATTCTAGACTAATTCCACTCAACATTTCCAAAACACGTATAATTTTTTGGGAATAATCCGTATAAACTATGCTATAAACAAAAAATTATAGGATTACTTACCGAGTGTGTACCGTTCGACTACGCCGTTGCTTAAAGCTGGTTTTCATCGCGGAACAGCACATTAAACGGCGGCCGCGATTTCTAATAACTAATTTTTCGCATAAAAATAACTTGACCTTTGGAGACATCATTAATATAAATAATTTTTATGGCCGTTGAATAAGAAGTGTTTCTTTCACAAGAAATGTATAAAATTAGTGCTGTATTAGACTTACGGTACCTAATTTACATACTGTACAGACGATAATAAACTCAACTTACTAGCCTAAAATCTCCGTAGCGTGTTGCCAGGCGGCAGAAAGCATATATATAATTATAATAAAGTTACAATAAATTAAGTTAATATATAATTATATATACAGTACCTAATTTATATATAATTAATATATAATTATATGTACAGTACCTAATTTATATATAATTTATATATAATACTAAACAGACGATAGCAAACTCAATTTAGCCGCTCCGTAGCGTGGCGCAGGGTCGGAGGAAAGTAGTTCGGCTGCTCATCCACTATTGGTCCAGACTCTATCAATCTTGTCGCGAAACGACGTTATAGGAGGTACGTTATACGAAAGTTGCTACAATTTTTTCGCTACGTTATAGGAATTGTCGTTATAGGAACGTATGTTATAGGGGGGTCGACTGTACATTTTAATTTGTAAATGACTCCTGTTTTCTGTAAGTTATCAATTTTTTTTCTTATTTATATTTAATATTTTACTTAATTTATAGAAAAATATACTAATTATTTTTCATGGTTGGTGCTAAAATTATTTGTTTTTCTTTAAGTTGTTTAGCACATTTTTCGAAAATGTTTTTAATATACGGAAAAGTAAACTACTGAAATCCACTATGCTCTATAAGTTCTTCTTTCTTATATGTTTTTACTCTAATTTTACATTTAGGTATGAAAATCACATATTATATATCATGAAAATTGTTATTACAGCATTAAAGTGTACAGTAAATTCAAATTATTAAAATAAATATAAAAATTTGAATTTTATTTTAGTTTTGATGGAATGAATTTCAGTTATATGTTAACGTAAGTGTTTCTGGTGATAGCATATCCTATGTGGAGAAAATCAATAAGAAATTAGAAAGAAAGGCTTTCAGATGCATCTCATCCATCTTCAGAGTCAAAATGAAGCTTTCAATCAGATAAATGAGGCAGTCTGTATAGTCTTAAAGGTAGATGGCCTCATCCACTTTTTAAATTCAAACCTGGAACTCGCACGTTCTTGATGGCTTTCCAATGTTTGATTCTCATTTTAATCCTCAATATTTCATCATCATAATTGTCTCTCTCTCTCTCTCTCTCTCTATTTGTCTGTCATTATACAATTAACTTGTTTAGAAATTCTAAATATACTAATTAAAAATATTTTGGCATAGATTATCTGGTCATCAGTTATTAAACTTTGAATGTTCGGTCACTTTTAATACATTTTTCATTCTCCCTCTAGAATATGTAATAATTAAATAAATATATTAGCCTCAGTCATTACTTATATTCTCTTATGAATTTTTTATTTATAATTTATTACTCCAAAATTATTTAATAAGATAATTAAAATATCTAATTATATTTAAAATTTCAAGTAAATTTGCAAGCAATGATTAAAATTAATTAAAATTTAATTTGGGGATTCATTCATTGAAGCACAGTTGAATTGGAAGTTAAATCATTTTCTTATCATTGTTTTTAAAAAAGGAAAATGCATATGTTTGTATTTAAAAGTACAAAAATCAATACTGATAAGTCACTTTTTAAAAAAGGCACACATTTGATAATCAAGCTGATTAATTAATAGCCAAATGTCAAATGCAAAATTTTCAGGTTGTTTTTTTATGTTCTTTCTGCCTTGCGGGTGCTAAGAGGGCGTTTTTTCCATAGCTGTTGTGAGTTTGGCCGAATGCACATTAGGATCATCTGGGTGACGAGGGATGGGACCCAACAGAGACTGCTCAGAAAAAATTTTCCAGGAGTTGCCACCTGGATGTGATTCTGGATTTCCCAGATTAGTAGACTAATACTGTAACTGCTTTGGCCATCCAAGTGTGCAGATTTTACTATATCAAAGCTAATGATACATAGTGTTATCATTAGCATGAAATCTGGCAGCTGATGTTTGGCTGTTGATTATTAAGTTTTGTTTATTTATAGAAATAAAAGTGTAAATCTTGAATAGTAATATATTGATTAATATATCTTGAACAGCACAAAAAATCTTTGAATTTTTTTCAATCTGATATTTAAACTGTATTTTTTTACTCAATAGAATTGTAGTTTTATAAAATAATTTTCATAATATGACATCCTAAATGGAGTTTTAAATTTCAATTTTTTAAAATGTAATTAAACATCTTGAAATTAAACTTTCTATATATGTAAATTTGGAACTACGAAGCAATGCATTTGATTTTTTAATCCCAATTTTCAGATGAGGAGAAATTGGGAGGTAATTTTTTTTATTTTACACAATATATATATATATGCCACTGCTTTATATAAATTTTTAATTGATCACTATATATTTTAACATTTTTAAATGAATGTTTTTGACTATAAAGAAAAAGTAACTGCTTCACATTTTAATTTGAATCACAATTAATTTGCTTGCCACTTTTGCATTAATTATTAATTTTTGCTTGCAAGAATTTAAAGTTTTAAAATTAGATATTTTTATGGTAATTAGTGGCTTGAGTTTTCCTTTATTTTTCTATTATTGTAGCTATGTTAGTTGCAATAATTTTTGCTATGCTAAAATAAGCTTTACATGTATGTCAGTGTATGAGTATGTGGCGCTTAATGATGGAAATATGTTGTTAAGCGAATGTCATAGATTGTACTTAGACAAACATTATATGGTATAGTCTTGTATAAGCTATATGTTACATAATAAGTATTTATGTATCTAAACATAAAAAAGTATGGATGGCTGCAAAGTTTGCTGCTCCATTGTAATCCTATGAAACCTCTGTCGTTAAGCTGCACATACAGTACCTGTGTACTTTTTAATATAATTTATTGAGAAAATTTTTTTACATAATATTAAAATATTTTATTTTAATCAGAATTATTTAATTGATTAATTATATATGTATAGATTCTATATATTTCAAAATATTAATTTTTTTTCCATCTAGTTTAGGGAATTAGAAGGTACCATTGGACAAATTTTGACATCTCCTGAAGGTGCTGATATATCTAGTGAAGTTGAATAAATGGTATGAGTTAGTTATCATTGAGTTATATATACTTGGTGATGAAAGGAAAGTGGAACTCATGAGACCAAGTGAGGAGTTTGGTGATTTGGGAAGGCATGAGCCAAGTATATTCACATTAGAAACTCCTTGCGCCATTTCTCAAAGTTCTACTTTTGTTTGATTGTCTCGTATATGTTACTATGTTTTGTTTTGTTAATATAATTAAAATTACTAATTTGCTTTTAAATTAAAGTTAAATATAATTTTTATATTGCAGATGTGTTCATAGTCAATTTGCTCCATAAACCAAGATGGTATCTTAATGGGTATATTCCCTTAGAACAACTCTGATTTTTGCATAACACCTTTAGAATCGTAGCTATAGATAATCATTTATCTCCAGATTGATTGTGACAAATCAGTTTGTATTTTCTTTATTAAGTTTATGATTTCTAGAAGTAATATATTTAAAAGAAGAAATAAACCAATGCAGCATGTCATCCTCTCCTGCTACATCTACAGTCGAAAGAAAATATTTTGCAAAAATCCAAGAGTACAAAGCAGAATTTCATCAGCTAGTCATTCTTGTTTATCAACTAATTGGTGTTTGTGTAATACAGTTAAGTTAGCTGTTTAATGTGTCACTATTTATCTTTTGTTATGTTAATCTTAAGTCTGTTTAAATGTAGTTCACAAATGAAATTCATCCAGAAATTATAAGTGATATTTTATTATGGTGCGCAATATATGCTAATCAAACAGTGTTGTTTTATTAACAAATAAACAAAGAAGTATTGTAGTTTTCAGGAATGTATATAATGTTACAGTAAAATTAATGGGGAAAAAATTGTTAAAATTCATAATTCTTTTTTGGCTTTGAACAAATTTGATAATGTTGAAATTTCCAATTTCTTATTATAGTTATTTAAAACAAGAACATATTTATTAAGATTAACACTTGACCAAAAGAAAAAAATTTGCATTTTTTGTGGAATTTTCTTGGATAGAAAAATTTTGAAATCAATAATGCAAGAACATTAAAAAAGAAATTGCATCTTTTATATGATAAAAGCTAAAATATTAAAAAACTTCTTCGATATTTAAAAGGTTTGATTTAGATACATCATACACATAAATATGAAAACTTTGTAGCCAAATTAGAATTAGATCATTCGTAGTTAATTCTTTGAGATACGTCATCAGGAGCAGCGTAAAGAAATGCATTTTATGTTTGTGTTTCTTTCGAGATCTGATCTTGAGTTTCTGTAACAAAGAACTGCTCTTGCTGACTTGTCTCTATGCATAATTTAAAAAGTAAACAAGAAAAAAAATATATATATACTTATTTATTAGCAAATTTTAAAACTGTTTTTAAGTTTCAAAAATTAAAATGTTATCATGCTGATTAGTTTAAATATTATCAATACATAAATATATTTAGGATGCTTGCCGATAAGTTTAATCTATTTATTATTGTTAAAATAATAATGTTCATTTCAGAATACGCAATAATAATGTTCATTAATTTTAGAAGATTATAATAGTTGTAAATTGTTATTGTTAATACTTTTTCTTCTGGAATTTATATTAAATTACATTTTATCATCAGTAATTAACACATTATAATTAAAATGTATTATAACAATTTGACTCCCGAGTAACTTCCAATTAATTATAATCCTTAGGAGAGAAAATAACAATAATAAAATAACAATAGAGTTGTTTAGAAAGTAGTATTTTAATAATAATATAGAGAGGAACAATTGTGTTTGTGATTTGTCTTACGATACAGTAGAGTATGGTGTAGATATAATTTTTCCTATAATCAATAACCTCTTTAGATCGATATCACTTTGATATTTATTTAGTACAGACTTTTACATACCTTTGTCCTGTTTTTGGTAGTATAGAGTTACATTACTTAATGCATTTTCATGCTTTATCGAAAGTTACTTGCTACTGTTAAGAGATCTCATTAAGAAATGAATGCAATCTCATTTAAAATAATTTTTGCAACAGACTGCCAATTTATATAAGCACCGATTATTCAATAATCAAAAAAAAATCCATTGTTTAGGGGTCGTATTCATCTTGATAACAAGATACGGTATTCAAGTTTAAGGAGATTAGTTAATAATCTAGAGAACTGTTTTGGCTATTGAGTTTATTATATCGAGGACATAAAAATCATTTTTAGAATATACTCGATAGGAGCTTACTATCGTTAAGTTAAGGAAAATTAGTCCAGAATATGTTAAGAATTGAGATATTCTTTCTGTTTTTTGTTTGTAATAAAATAAGTCTAATGTTGAGACCAAGTAAGTTGACTGATTGTATCCAGTTATAAAGTTTTTAATTCATATTTTAGAGTTGTTAAATGATTAATCAATGGGATATTTTAACTCAAAAGTTCAGTTGCAGAGTAGACACTTAGTTATTTGACATTTTCCATTTTTCATTGATAATCGGTATCAACTGATTGAGTTGAGAATTTTGAAGTTCCAATATCTGATTTGGCTTTTAATTGTTGGTCAGAATTTGTTTGAATTGTAATTTATAATGATTAACTACTTGGAAGTAGTTGGAAAGTAAAAGCATAAAACTATGTACAATATGACAAAAAAAAATTACATTCATGGAGTTCTTAACAATAATTTTTATGCAAAATGTTTTTGTCTAGATTTTCTTGCAAATTATGTAATGATAAGGTATGTAACTTGTTAATGAAGTTAACAATGAGTACATTCTGGTGTACATCAGTGTATTGGCGAACCATGATGTACTGAAATGTGCTCTGATATTTACCAATGAGTTTGTTGATATAGCGATTGATGCATGTTACACTCACCAGGATATGGTGAGCTTCAATGAAGTAACTGGTTGCCTCCCTGGTTATATTATTAACACCATTCTTACAACTTATTAACCCAGTTATTTTGACAAAGTGAGTCTGCAAATGCCAATGTAGTGCTGTTTGCTTTTCCAATTTTATCATTAAACCATTCACAAATGCATACTGGATTGTACCCAAAGGTTTTGTTTGATTTACGACTGCCAAACATGTTAAAGATTGAATTTTCTGCTTTGTTTATATGAAACATGCATTTTTGCAACATTACAAAGTGAGAACTGTCTACTAAAGCAGAAATTTTCTTGATTCAGAATGTTTAACAAATGTTTCAGAATCATTTTTAACATTTTCAGTCAATATTTTACTTTCAATCTTTAATAATGCTTTTAAAGATTGCAAGAATATCTATCGATTAGCTTATTATGTTCCCTGTTTTTTATATAGAATATCCTATTACAAATCCCAATGAAATACGTGTGTAATTTAATTGCATGTAAATGCAGTTACGAATTTCATGAATGCAAGTTTTTTTGTCGTATATATTGATTTTATATTTATAATATATTGTTATGTAAAAATGCATTCGGAATAGATTATCTAGTTTAATTGGATTAATGGTAGAATTTAGGATGTTATTAAAAAATGTTACATGATTGAGTGCCTACTATATATTGTTAAATATGTTTTTGATGAGTTAATGATTTTATTTTCGAAAAATTTCATTATCAAATAATAAACTCCGGCTCAAAATTTCATATTCGGACTTTTTCATACTGTTCCATTAGGCTGGAAAATCATAGTAACGGTGAAAAACAAAATATCACTAGTAATATTATTACTAGTAATGTGATGCTTGTCATCATTATTATGTCCTTTTGTCAGCTAAATATGGCTTCGTCATTGTGATTTGCAAATTACAGTGAATGTTGTCCAATTTAATGGTCACTGTAAAATTTTCCATCCATTGAATAAAACTGTACAAGTTGGCATTTCTATTATCTTTTTGTATACGAGAAATTATTTTTGTGATGACAATATTTTTTCTTGGAGATAGCAAAACAACGTGTCCAGCCACAAACGTAAAAAAACAAATGGGGGAACAAATTGCAGTCTTAATTTTTCTGACATTCAAACCAATTTCAGTTTTGTTTTGAACTAAAACCATGATGTAAATTAGTCTTCCACTTAACAGAAGAAATGCTTAACAGTTCTTTTGGATATGTTACAAAATAATTTGGTCTTTCGTTTTCTCGGCATTGTCAGGAAAAATGCACTGGGCCCTTCAACCGTAATCTCTAAGTGTTCTATTGTATAATAAGACATTCAATATAATTTATTTTTTAAATCCATTTTACATCGTTGTATGTGCAAAGCCAAGATTTTGTGGTTAAACTTTATTTTTAATACATAAAAAAAATAATTCTTGTGTCTTTGCTTTATTGTTGTTATAAACGATCAAATTATTTCAAAGTGTAATTTTGTTAAACGTGTCGGTCGGTACGTTGGAAATACGATTTTATTAACTGTCGAGATTGATGTAAATGTGAAATATGCCAAAGTTAAATGTGGAAATGCTACTTACATTCGACATCAGTATTGATCATCATCGTCATTTGTTTTTTAATTTATTTATTTGCTTATCATCTAAGCACAGTTTCATCAAAATATGAGAAACACTCTAAGAAAATCTCAAATTGCTTATACAAAAAGTAAAATTATTATTATATTTTCTAACCCTTCATCATTCCACGAGAGCATTTTTTCCATTCTCCTCTTCATTCTTGACATTCTCAATCGTCCAGTATTAATCATCTCTGTACGAATTTGTTTTTCTTAAATATTTTATAGTTTTATTTTGTGGATGTTTGGCATATTTCATGTGTTTCTAACAAAAAAAATAAAAGTGAAATGCTTTAACACAAATTTTTACCTTATTTTCAGACACATTCTAAATGAGAAAAAAAGAAAACATTTTGCTCTTTCATATTTTTAAAGTTTTTTGTATATAAAATATGTGTTAAATGTTCATAATGTTATTACTTTTGATATGGCCCCCACGGGCATCACTTACCATTTTTTACATAAGTGTCATATCTGTAGCATTGCGTGTGATAATTAGTCTTGTACAGTTTGTTAATTTATTGATCTCATTGGAAAATATTAAGTTTTTCCGTTAGTTTATCTTAAAATGTTTATTTTGCGGGTTTAAAATGTACGTTATCGTTCATAGTAGTGTATGATACAATGGTTGTAGAAAGATTTATTGTTAGATATAAGAAAGTGTAAATGGAAAGATAAATAAATTGGTTTCAGCATTAACTAGTTTTCTTTTTTTTTCTTTTTTTTAGATATTGTTTATTATTGAAGTAATGCAGATATACTAAATTGAATATTGAGAAAATAATAAATATCTTCAGATTTAAAATCAAGTGAGTTTATATTATATTAAAGTATATATTACCTCATTAATTTTAAATGTGAAATGATTATTATCATCTTATATTATGATAAAGATGGAGAAGTAAAGAATTTAAAATAATTAAATTTGAAAATGTCGAGCGTGCGATAGCCAGATGGTCAAGCTGATAAAAGCATTAGCTGTGGCTCTAGATTATTCATGTTTTCATTTGTGAGTCAAAATGGATGCATTGGGCCTCATCCTTCATTCTCTGGTTACCTTATGGTTAGGTCGGTTATGCCCGTAGTGGATTTGACAAAAGTCCTCTTACAGTCATATTCATAACCAAGGAGCAAGAGTTTAGCATTAGAAATGATCTATTAAGTGTTCATGTGCTAAAAATAAAGTGAATGGTGATTGGTTAACTTCTAACTCTTGATCTTTGTTTATGAATATGGCTGTTAGTATAGCAAGTTAGAATTAAAATAATATATGTATTATTTTGTGTGTGTGTGAGGGCAGCTGGGGGTATAGAGTTAGTTATCACTCTTTATACCACTTACTCAGCTAAGTAGTCTGGAAGACTAGCCTCAGTTGTCGTAGGATGATGATATATGAGTGATATAAATGCAGAGACGAGACGATCGTGTAATTACTGTCTCCTGTCAGGATTCCCGACACCAGCTAGGGTAATTAAAATTACGCGCCCTAACTCGCATATATAAAAGATGATTAGGAGGGCTAAACAGTCGACTCAATAAATGATTGAATTCAAATGATAAACATAAATATTATTTAATGGATAAATGAAATATACTATATACATATCTCTAAATATAACATAAGATAACATTGGAAGTATAATAGAGTTCAATGAGCTTATTTCTAACTACATCTATATTTCTATACCTTGCGTGAATGATACATGAGAGAGAGAGCTTACAATAAACAATATATATACTACCTCGACTTAGGTAGTATTCATAATCTTCTTTGAGGAGCTCGGGAGATGAAGGATGGATGTGGGATATTCTCTTATTATGTACATAAAGTTAAAATATATAAAGCGAGACTTTTCTATGGCAGCTAATTTTCTGGAGTTATATGACAAACTCAACTATGAGGAACTGCCTTCTATGGCATCTTTGAAATTATGGAAGACTGCATTCTATGGCAGATTCAGAGTCTTCGAGAACTGCCATCTTCTATGGCAAATCTCTTTTGTAGATTGCTTTCTATGTGGCAATATCAATATCAATTGTTGATGAACTGCCCAGAATAGTGGGAAAATTCACTTTTTAATGGGCCATCTTAGCATTCAAGGGATCACTGTTACTATTGGATGCACGCTGACATATAGAGGGGGTTAAGAGATATGGCGGGTCTGAACTTGGAGATAAGAGCTCTTGAGAAAGGAAGTTGATTTGCTCTTTTTCCTTAACTGCGAGTGCAACTTCCCCTGTTGTAAACAATATATAAAAATTTAATGTATTTTCTCTGTTAAATTAATTAAACAATCCCAATTCTCACATATGCACATACTGGTGGTCCTTAACTATCAGACAACTTGCTCATTCCTACATAATATTTAAATATTATGTAGGAATGAGCAAGTTGTTTGATACCTGTAATTCGGGAAGGTATGCACCAACACAATGCAAAATTTTTTTTGAAATACTGTATCTTTATAACTTTTTAAAAAAAATTTCCCACACCTGTTATTGAGTAGAAACAAAATTTTAACTCTTGCTCAACTTTTGTATACATTTTAAGTAATTTTTGCATTATATGCAAAAATTAGGGACTGTCTATATAGTGCTATATTTATGAAAACAATTAGCTCTCTGAGCTAAATATTTTGGTAAATATGGCAAAGAATTAGGGATTAACATGAATAGGTTTGAGCCATCATACCTAAATAAATGTGATTGACAGTTCTTCATTCAAATTAAGTCATTTCTATTTCATAAAGTTTTAGCCTATTCTTTCAATCAGATATAAATTTAATTTGTGAGAGTTTTTCAATCTATTCATGCTTAAAAGTAGATTTGGGTTTAGTATGGTCACGAAGGAGTGACAAACTAAACATGATATTAACATCAAAATTAAATAAGCTAAAAACTAAGATCATGAAGCAACCATCAAATAAATTTTGATATCTTAGAATAATTGTTCAACAAAGATGATGGGACAATACAGGCATTAACCTGCTGTGAGTCAATTTGTTGGGCTCCATCTCCCGCCACTTGGCTGCTCCTATGGTTTTCTTGGAAAAAAGACTCTCTTAACGTATGCAGAGTAGAAAGCGTTAAAAAAGAAAAAAAAGACAAAAAGAGAAATAGTCAATGAAAACTTTATTTGTATACATGAATGTTTACATACAATGATCAGAGTGAAATCTGATCCAAAAATGTCGCATAATATATATANAATTTTTTTTCTTATTTATATTTAATATTTTACTTAATTTATAGAAAAATATACTAATTATTTTTCATGGTTGGTGCTAAAATTATTTGTTTTTCTTTAAGTTGTTTAGCACATTTTTCGAAAATGTTTTTAATATACGGAAAAGTAAACTACTGAAATCCACTATGCTCTATAAGTTCTTCTTTCTTATATGTTTTTACTCTAATTTTACATTTAGGTATGAAAATCACATATTATATATCATGAAAATTGTTATTACAGCATTAAAGTGTACAGTAAATTCAAATTATTAAAATAAATATAAAAATTTGAATTTTATTTTAGTTTTGATGGAATGAATTTCAGTTATATGTTAACGTAAGTGTTTCTGGTGATAGCATATCCTATGTGGAGAAAATCAATAAGAAATTAGAAAGAAAGGCTTTCAGATGCATCTCATCCATCTTCAGAGTCAAAATGAAGCTTTCAATCAGATAAATGAGGCAGTCTGTATAGTCTTAAAGGTAGATGGCCTCATCCACTTTTTAAATTCAAACCTGGAACTCGCACGTTCTTGATGGCTTTCCAATGTTTGATTCTCATTTTAATCCTCAATATTTCATCATCATAATTGTCTCTCTCTCTCTCTCTCTCTCTATTTGTCTGTCATTATACAATTAACTTGTTTAGAAATTCTAAATATACTAATTAAAAATATTTTGGCATAGATTATCTGGTCATCAGTTATTAAACTTTGAATGTTCGGTCACTTTTAATACATTTTTCATTCTCCCTCTAGAATATGTAATAATTAAATAAATATATTAGCCTCAGTCATTACTTATATTCTCTTATGAATTTTTTATTTATAATTTATTACTCCAAAATTATTTAATAAGATAATTAAAATATCTAATTATATTTAAAATTTCAAGTAAATTTGCAAGCAATGATTAAAATTAATTAAAATTTAATTTGGGGATTCATTCATTGAAGCACAGTTGAATTGGAAGTTAAATCATTTTCTTATCATTGTTTTTAAAAAAGGAAAATGCATATGTTTGTATTTAAAAGTACAAAAATCAATACTGATAAGTCACTTTTTAAAAAAGGCACACATTTGATAATCAAGCTGATTAATTAATAGCCAAATGTCAAATGCAAAATTTTCAGGTTGTTTTTTTATGTTCTTTCTGCCTTGCGGGTGCTAAGAGGGCGTTTTTTCCATAGCTGTTGTGAGTTTGGCCGAATGCACATTAGGATCATCTGGGTGACGAGGGATGGGACCCAACAGAGACTGCTCAGAAAAAATTTTCCAGGAGTTGCCACCTGGATGTGATTCTGGATTTCCCAGATTAGTAGACTAATACTGTAACTGCTTTGGCCATCCAAGTGTGCAGATTTTACTATATCAAAGCTAATGATACATAGTGTTATCATTAGCATGAAATCTGGCAGCTGATGTTTGGCTGTTGATTATTAAGTTTTGTTTATTTATAGAAATAAAAGTGTAAATCTTGAATAGTAATATATTGATTAATATATCTTGAACAGCACAAAAAATCTTTGAATTTTTTTCAATCTGATATTTAAACTGTATTTTTTTACTCAATAGAATTGTAGTTTTATAAAATAATTTTCATAATATGACATCCTAAATGGAGTTTTAAATTTCAATTTTTTAAAATGTAATTAAACATCTTGAAATTAAACTTTCTATATATGTAAATTTGGAACTACGAAGCAATGCATTTGATTTTTTAATCCCAATTTTCAGATGAGGAGAAATTGGGAGGTAATTTTTTTTATTTTACACAATATATATATATATGCCACTGCTTTATATAAATTTTTAATTGATCACTATATATTTTAACATTTTTAAATGAATGTTTTTGACTATAAAGAAAAAGTAACTGCTTCACATTTTAATTTGAATCACAATTAATTTGCTTGCCACTTTTGCATTAATTATTAATTTTTGCTTGCAAGAATTTAAAGTTTTAAAATTAGATATTTTTATGGTAATTAGTGGCTTGAGTTTTCCTTTATTTTTCTATTATTGTAGCTATGTTAGTTGCAATAATTTTTGCTATGCTAAAATAAGCTTTACATGTATGTCAGTGTATGAGTATGTGGCGCTTAATGATGGAAATATGTTGTTAAGCGAATGTCATAGATTGTACTTAGACAAACATTATATGGTATAGTCTTGTATAAGCTATATGTTACATAATAAGTATTTATGTATCTAAACATAAAAAAGTATGGATGGCTGCAAAGTTTGCTGCTCCATTGTAATCCTATGAAACCTCTGTCGTTAAGCTGCACATACAGTACCTGTGTACTTTTTAATATAATTTATTGAGAAAATTTTTTTACATAATATTAAAATATTTTATTTTAATCAGAATTATTTAATTGATTAATTATATATGTATAGATTCTATATATTTCAAAATATTAATTTTTTTTCCATCTAGTTTAGGGAATTAGAAGGTACCATTGGACAAATTTTGACATCTCCTGAAGGTGCTGATATATCTAGTGAAGTTGAATAAATGGTATGAGTTAGTTATCATTGAGTTATATATACTTGGTGATGAAAGGAAAGTGGAACTCATGAGACCAAGTGAGGAGTTTGGTGATTTGGGAAGGCATGAGCCAAGTATATTCACATTAGAAACTCCTTGCGCCATTTCTCAAAGTTCTACTTTTGTTTGATTGTCTCGTATATGTTACTATGTTTTGTTTTGTTAATATAATTAAAATTACTAATTTGCTTTTAAATTAAAGTTAAATATAATTTTTATATTGCAGATGTGTTCATAGTCAATTTGCTCCATAAACCAAGATGGTATCTTAATGGGTATATTCCCTTAGAACAACTCTGATTTTTGCATAACACCTTTAGAATCGTAGCTATAGATAATCATTTATCTCCAGATTGATTGTGACAAATCAGTTTGTATTTTCTTTATTAAGTTTATGATTTCTAGAAGTAATATATTTAAAAGAAGAAATAAACCAATGCAGCATGTCATCCTCTCCTGCTACATCTACAGTCGAAAGAAAATATTTTGCAAAAATCCAAGAGTACAAAGCAGAATTTCATCAGCTAGTCATTCTTGTTTATCAACTAATTGGTGTTTGTGTAATACAGTTAAGTTAGCTGTTTAATGTGTCACTATTTATCTTTTGTTATGTTAATCTTAAGTCTGTTTAAATGTAGTTCACAAATGAAATTCATCCAGAAATTATAAGTGATATTTTATTATGGTGCGCAATATATGCTAATCAAACAGTGTTGTTTTATTAACAAATAAACAAAGAAGTATTGTAGTTTTCAGGAATGTATATAATGTTACAGTAAAATTAATGGGGAAAAAATTGTTAAAATTCATAATTCTTTTTTGGCTTTGAACAAATTTGATAATGTTGAAATTTCCAATTTCTTATTATAGTTATTTAAAACAAGAACATATTTATTAAGATTAACACTTGACCAAAAGAAAAAAATTTGCATTTTTTGTGGAATTTTCTTGGATAGAAAAATTTTGAAATCAATAATGCAAGAACATTAAAAAAGAAATTGCATCTTTTATATGATAAAAGCTAAAATATTAAAAAACTTCTTCGATATTTAAAAGGTTTGATTTAGATACATCATACACATAAATATGAAAACTTTGTAGCCAAATTAGAATTAGATCATTCGTAGTTAATTCTTTGAGATACGTCATCAGGAGCAGCGTAAAGAAATGCATTTTATGTTTGTGTTTCTTTCGAGATCTGATCTTGAGTTTCTGTAACAAAGAACTGCTCTTGCTGACTTGTCTCTATGCATAATTTAAAAAGTAAACAAGAAAAAAAATATATATATACTTATTTATTAGCAAATTTTAAAACTGTTTTTAAGTTTCAAAAATTAAAATGTTATCATGCTGATTAGTTTAAATATTATCAATACATAAATATATTTAGGATGCTTGCCGATAAGTTTAATCTATTTATTATTGTTAAAATAATAATGTTCATTTCAGAATACGCAATAATAATGTTCATTAATTTTAGAAGATTATAATAGTTGTAAATTGTTATTGTTAATACTTTTTCTTCTGGAATTTATATTAAATTACATTTTATCATCAGTAATTAACACATTATAATTAAAATGTATTATAACAATTTGACTCCCGAGTAACTTCCAATTAATTATAATCCTTAGGAGAGAAAATAACAATAATAAAATAACAATAGAGTTGTTTAGAAAGTAGTATTTTAATAATAATATAGAGAGGAACAATTGTGTTTGTGATTTGTCTTACGATACAGTAGAGTATGGTGTAGATATAATTTTTCCTATAATCAATAACCTCTTTAGATCGATATCACTTTGATATTTATTTAGTACAGACTTTTACATACCTTTGTCCTGTTTTTGGTAGTATAGAGTTACATTACTTAATGCATTTTCATGCTTTATCGAAAGTTACTTGCTACTGTTAAGAGATCTCATTAAGAAATGAATGCAATCTCATTTAAAATAATTTTTGCAACAGACTGCCAATTTATATAAGCACCGATTATTCAATAATCAAAAAAAAATCCATTGTTTAGGGGTCGTATTCATCTTGATAACAAGATACGGTATTCAAGTTTAAGGAGATTAGTTAATAATCTAGAGAACTGTTTTGGCTATTGAGTTTATTATATCGAGGACATAAAAATCATTTTTAGAATATACTCGATAGGAGCTTACTATCGTTAAGTTAAGGAAAATTAGTCCAGAATATGTTAAGAATTGAGATATTCTTTCTGTTTTTTGTTTGTAATAAAATAAGTCTAATGTTGAGACCAAGTAAGTTGACTGATTGTATCCAGTTATAAAGTTTTTAATTCATATTTTAGAGTTGTTAAATGATTAATCAATGGGATATTTTAACTCAAAAGTTCAGTTGCAGAGTAGACACTTAGTTATTTGACATTTTCCATTTTTCATTGATAATCGGTATCAACTGATTGAGTTGAGAATTTTGAAGTTCCAATATCTGATTTGGCTTTTAATTGTTGGTCAGAATTTGTTTGAATTGTAATTTATAATGATTAACTACTTGGAAGTAGTTGGAAAGTAAAAGCATAAAACTATGTACAATATGACAAAAAAAAATTACATTCATGGAGTTCTTAACAATAATTTTTATGCAAAATGTTTTTGTCTAGATTTTCTTGCAAATTATGTAATGATAAGGTATGTAACTTGTTAATGAAGTTAACAATGAGTACATTCTGGTGTACATCAGTGTATTGGCGAACCATGATGTACTGAAATGTGCTCTGATATTTACCAATGAGTTTGTTGATATAGCGATTGATGCATGTTACACTCACCAGGATATGGTGAGCTTCAATGAAGTAACTGGTTGCCTCCCTGGTTATATTATTAACACCATTCTTACAACTTATTAACCCAGTTATTTTGACAAAGTGAGTCTGCAAATGCCAATGTAGTGCTGTTTGCTTTTCCAATTTTATCATTAAACCATTCACAAATGCATACTGGATTGTACCCAAAGGTTTTGTTTGATTTACGACTGCCAAACATGTTAAAGATTGAATTTTCTGCTTTGTTTATATGAAACATGCATTTTTGCAACATTACAAAGTGAGAACTGTCTACTAAAGCAGAAATTTTCTTGATTCAGAATGTTTAACAAATGTTTCAGAATCATTTTTAACATTTTCAGTCAATATTTTACTTTCAATCTTTAATAATGCTTTTAAAGATTGCAAGAATATCTATCGATTAGCTTATTATGTTCCCTGTTTTTTATATAGAATATCCTATTACAAATCCCAATGAAATACGTGTGTAATTTAATTGCATGTAAATGCAGTTACGAATTTCATGAATGCAAGTTTTTTTGTCGTATATATTGATTTTATATTTATAATATATTGTTATGTAAAAATGCATTCGGAATAGATTATCTAGTTTAATTGGATTAATGGTAGAATTTAGGATGTTATTAAAAAATGTTACATGATTGAGTGCCTACTATATATTGTTAAATATGTTTTTGATGAGTTAATGATTTTATTTTCGAAAAATTTCATTATCAAATAATAAACTCCGGCTCAAAATTTCATATTCGGACTTTTTCATACTGTTCCATTAGGCTGGAAAATCATAGTAACGGTGAAAAACAAAATATCACTAGTAATATTATTACTAGTAATGTGATGCTTGTCATCATTATTATGTCCTTTTGTCAGCTAAATATGGCTTCGTCATTGTGATTTGCAAATTACAGTGAATGTTGTCCAATTTAATGGTCACTGTAAAATTTTCCATCCATTGAATAAAACTGTACAAGTTGGCATTTCTATTATCTTTTTGTATACGAGAAATTATTTTTGTGATGACAATATTTTTTCTTGGAGATAGCAAAACAACGTGTCCAGCCACAAACGTAAAAAAACAAATGGGGGAACAAATTGCAGTCTTAATTTTTCTGACATTCAAACCAATTTCAGTTTTGTTTTGAACTAAAACCATGATGTAAATTAGTCTTCCACTTAACAGAAGAAATGCTTAACAGTTCTTTTGGATATGTTACAAAATAATTTGGTCTTTCGTTTTCTCGGCATTGTCAGGAAAAATGCACTGGGCCCTTCAACCGTAATCTCTAAGTGTTCTATTGTATAATAAGACATTCAATATAATTTATTTTTTAAATCCATTTTACATCGTTGTATGTGCAAAGCCAAGATTTTGTGGTTAAACTTTATTTTTAATACATAAAAAAAATAATTCTTGTGTCTTTGCTTTATTGTTGTTATAAACGATCAAATTATTTCAAAGTGTAATTTTGTTAAACGTGTCGGTCGGTACGTTGGAAATACGATTTTATTAACTGTCGAGATTGATGTAAATGTGAAATATGCCAAAGTTAAATGTGGAAATGCTACTTACATTCGACATCAGTATTGATCATCATCGTCATTTGTTTTTTAATTTATTTATTTGCTTATCATCTAAGCACAGTTTCATCAAAATATGAGAAACACTCTAAGAAAATCTCAAATTGCTTATACAAAAAGTAAAATTATTATTATATTTTCTAACCCTTCATCATTCCACGAGAGCATTTTTTCCATTCTCCTCTTCATTCTTGACATTCTCAATCGTCCAGTATTAATCATCTCTGTACGAATTTGTTTTTCTTAAATATTTTATAGTTTTATTTTGTGGATGTTTGGCATATTTCATGTGTTTCTAACAAAAAAAATAAAAGTGAAATGCTTTAACACAAATTTTTACCTTATTTTCAGACACATTCTAAATGAGAAAAAAAGAAAACATTTTGCTCTTTCATATTTTTAAAGTTTTTTGTATATAAAATATGTGTTAAATGTTCATAATGTTATTACTTTTGATATGGCCCCCACGGGCATCACTTACCATTTTTTACATAAGTGTCATATCTGTAGCATTGCGTGTGATAATTAGTCTTGTACAGTTTGTTAATTTATTGATCTCATTGGAAAATATTAAGTTTTTCCGTTAGTTTATCTTAAAATGTTTATTTTGCGGGTTTAAAATGTACGTTATCGTTCATAGTAGTGTATGATACAATGGTTGTAGAAAGATTTATTGTTAGATATAAGAAAGTGTAAATGGAAAGATAAATAAATTGGTTTCAGCATTAACTAGTTTTCTTTTTTTTTCTTTTTTTTAGATATTGTTTATTATTGAAGTAATGCAGATATACTAAATTGAATATTGAGAAAATAATAAATATCTTCAGATTTAAAATCAAGTGAGTTTATATTATATTAAAGTATATATTACCTCATTAATTTTAAATGTGAAATGATTATTATCATCTTATATTATGATAAAGATGGAGAAGTAAAGAATTTAAAATAATTAAATTTGAAAATGTCGAGCGTGCGATAGCCAGATGGTCAAGCTGATAAAAGCATTAGCTGTGGCTCTAGATTATTCATGTTTTCATTTGTGAGTCAAAATGGATGCATTGGGCCTCATCCTTCATTCTCTGGTTACCTTATGGTTAGGTCGGTTATGCCCGTAGTGGATTTGACAAAAGTCCTCTTACAGTCATATTCATAACCAAGGAGCAAGAGTTTAGCATTAGAAATGATCTATTAAGTGTTCATGTGCTAAAAATAAAGTGAATGGTGATTGGTTAACTTCTAACTCTTGATCTTTGTTTATGAATATGGCTGTTAGTATAGCAAGTTAGAATTAAAATAATATATGTATTATTTTGTGTGTGTGTGAGGGCAGCTGGGGGTATAGAGTTAGTTATCACTCTTTATACCACTTACTCAGCTAAGTAGTCTGGAAGACTAGCCTCAGTTGTCGTAGGATGATGATATATGAGTGATATAAATGCAGAGACGAGACGATCGTGTAATTACTGTCTCCTGTCAGGATTCCCGACACCAGCTAGGGTAATTAAAATTACGCGCCCTAACTCGCATATATAAAAGATGATTAGGAGGGCTAAACAGTCGACTGAATAAATGATTGAATTCAAATGATAAACATAAATATTATTTAATGGATAAATGAAATATACTATATACATATCTCTAAATATAACATAAGATAACATTGGAAGTATAATAGAGTTCAATGAGCTTATTTCTAACTACATCTATATTTCTATACCTTGCGTGAATGATACATGAGAGAGAGAGCTTACAATAAACAATATATATACTACCTCGACTTAGGTAGTATTCATAATCTTCTTTGAGGAGCTCGGGAGATGAAGGATGGATGTGGGATATTCTCTTATTATGTACATAAAGTTAAAATATATAAAGCGAGACTTTTCTATGGCAGCTAATTTTCTGGAGTTATATGACAAACTCAACTATGAGGAACTGCCTTCTATGGCATCTTTGAAATTATGGAAGACTGCATTCTATGGCAGATTCAGAGTCTTCGAGAACTGCCATCTTCTATGGCAAATCTCTTTTGTAGATTGCTTTCTATGTGGCAATATCAATATCAATTGTTGATGAACTGCCCAGAATAGTGGGAAAATTCACTTTTTAATGGGCCATCTTAGCATTCAAGGGATCACTGTTACTATTGGATGCACGCTGACATATAGAGGGGGTTAAGAGATATGGCGGGTCTGAACTTGGAGATAAGAGCTCTTGAGAAAGGAAGTTGATTTCCTCTTTCTCCTTAACTGCGAGTGCAACTTCCCCTCTTGTAAACAACATATATAAAAATTTAATGTAGTTTCTCTGCTAAATTAATTAAATAATCCCAATTCTCACATATGCACATACTGGTGGTCCTTAACTATCAGACAACTTGCTCATTCCTACATAATATTTAAATATTATGTAGGAATGAGCAAGTTGTTTGATACCTGTAATTCGGGAAGGTATGCACCAACACAATGCAAAATTTTTTTTGAAATACTGTATCTTTATAACTTTTTAAAAAAAATTTCCCACACCTGTTATTGAGTAGAAACAAAATTTTAACTCTTGCTCAACTTTTGTATACATTTTAAGTAATTTTTGCATTATATGCAAAAATTAGGGACTGTCTATAT